TCACCGTGGTGAGGAGGGTGATGTCATAGCGCTCTCCTGTGCGTGACACCTGTGGCTCCTCAGCAGGAAGGATGTTCCCATCGCTGTCCCTCCACTCTACTTTAGGCTTTGGAGAAGCACCTCTGACCTCACACTTCAGCAGCGCCTCGTCCTCGCTGATGTTCAGGATCCCAACAAACGGCTTCGGAGCTGCACCTGTGAACACAGCATGAAGCTGCAGTTACAGCACAAATGTGCTGTCGTGCTCTCATGTCCTTCTCTTTCCTGATGGAGATGTCGACACATCGTGTGTGAGAGCAGAGAAATAACAACCTTTACTACATGTTACAGCAGAGTTTGGGAGGACTTTCATTTATCAGCACAAACAGGAAACGTCCTGAGTCCAGCTTCACAGAAGTAAAAATGATGTCATCATTATTGAGCTTTCAGACAGGTTGATTTGTTAGACTGTGACCCAGAGTGTGACCTTACAGACTGATCAGAGAAATCTGAAGGCTTGACTGAGAACATCACTGATTTCTACATCTGCGCTCTGTGTGCTACGACTCTGTGCCCCAGAGGGAACGTACCATTACTCACACATTTGGACACCAGCACAGGTTTGATCCCAGTCCACACAGCAGCCTCTACAAACTGCACATGTAGAGCTCAGTGACATCAGAGTCAGGCTCAGCACCGACTCCTCTGATGTACAGGGTGGGCCATTTCTATGGATACTCCGTAACAACATGGGAATGGTTGGTGATATTAAAGTCCTGTTTGTGGCACATTAGTATATGTGAGGGGCAAACTCCTCAAGATGGGCGGTGACCACGGTGGCCATTTGGAAGTCGCCCATCTTGGGTACAACTTTTGTTTTTTCAATAGGAAGAGGGCCATGTGACACATCAAACTTATTGGTAATGTCACAAGAAAAACAATGGTGTGCTTGGTTTCAACGTAACTTTATAACAGGTTACAGATGCACACATCAGTGACATCATCACTCACCTGGGATTTCTCCTGATCGATCTTTCAAGGTGAGTTCTGAAAGGCAAAAATTAAACATGTGTTTTTTCACACAGCATCATGAACTCATGATGGAGCTGATGTTTCTGCATCACCTTTGTGAGCATCTCTTGGTTCAGGTAACAAACTGATGAGGTGACAGCTTCCAGCAGAGTTATTAAAGGGTTTGTTTTCACGATGCTTTCTACTCACCAACAACAAGTTTAATGCAGAACCTTTGTTCTGGCTGCAGATGTGGAAAATCACAGGTGTAGTCTCCACTGTCAGCCACCGTGGTGTTTCTGATGATGATGGAGGCGTTACCAAACTGCAGCTCTTGTGGGAAATGTGAGACCCGTCCTCTGAAGTGCTCGTCTTGACCTGGACGTCCATTATTGTAATGAAGGCCTCCATCATACATGAACACCTCCTGTTTATTTGGTGCTTTTTTCCTCCAATCAAAGAGCTTCTGTTCAAGGTCCTGATTGGTGCTGAGGGAGCAGGGTAAGATGACATCACTTTCTTCTGAGACAACCACTGTGACTCCTGGACCTGAAGAATGAAGCATGTTTGATTCAGTATGTTGAAATATGCAGTTCATAGTTTGACTGTAGCTCAGACTCAGTGTGTTCAGATATTTTACTTCACTTGTCTGTAGCTCAGGTCACTGATAAGTCCAACATACAATCTACTGTGATAGGATCAGCTCTATCGTCTTGACGCCTGCTCAGTCATCCAGGTAAGCAGATGGCAAAAGGTGGATTCTGTTCATCTGTAAGCAGCGTTTTCAGTGGGAGAACTGAACTGAAACTGAAAGCGCGTGAACAGGTGATCAGAATCAACCTTTTGGGATAAACTTTTGCCATCTGGTTGCTTCTGATAGAATACAGGTTTAAGGCATGTCCTCATTGCTTTAATACTTCTAAATAGAAGCTGTGCTGTGGGCAGAACTTTGTGCCATTAGAAACTGAATTTAAATAAGTTCAATTCAAATTACAAAGTTCTGCCCATCTATCATACTATGTTTCATGTAAATGTATAAAACAACTTACTGTGAAATAACATTTTTCCTCACATTAACATTTATGTGTACCATCATTAATCCTCATAATCTTATCAATAATACTGATGTCTGTCAAAACACATTCCTGGAGACGTTACAGTCATTACAGCTTCTCTGCACTGCTTTAACACACTGTTAGAAACAGAAACCCCACTTTGTCAGTCACAGCACTATTTTAGTGTTAATTATAATCAATAAAAAAAATAGATTTGAGGCGACACAGAGGGGTGTAGGGGGTGAGGAGGTAGAGAGTGCTTTGCTTTAAATTTTGGGGGGTTTCCATCAAAGAGGAGCTTCAATGATCAGAGAAGCTGCTGCTATTGTAAAAAAAGAGACCCAGCAGAGACTTTATTTCCTCAGGATACTGAAGAAGGTTCACCTGCTGCTGGAGCAGCTTCTGTCCAACAACTATCACTGAACTCCATCCTTATTCTATTGTATTCTACTGATCCGTGTTTATCAGTCTAAACTAAACGCTGCTGACTGTACCAGAAAGCAACAGAATATTTCAAATGAGCTCCAAAAACTGCAGACAGAAGTTTTCTTTAAGTACTTTTACTCCAAGTACTGTAAGACCACCCAGATGTATTTAAAGTGAGCGATAAAAGGATCCAATTCCTCATTCCTGCAGAAATTTAGAATATTTTCGCTCAGAGCTTTAAATATTTACTGTCATTAGTTTTCTTACACTTTTCATTTCCTATAACTGCAGATACAGTCAGGAGACAGATGCACAAAATCCTCACAGACTTCATTTCAGCAAACTGAAAAAAGCAACGGCAGACGGATCGGCCAAGAGCGGGGAGCTGCTCCGAGCGAAGACGAGAGGAGAGTTACAGAGCGCGAGCTGACCGGGCTTTATATACGGCGAAAAAAGCCCCCGACCGACAGAAATGTTCCCGACCGACGACGGACCGCCTCTTTTCCCCAACCGACGACGGACCGCCTCTTTCCCCGGCCGACGACGGCCCACGGCCCGCCCCTTCCATGACCAACGATCTCCCCGACCGACCAGGTCCCTGTAGTGTTCCCAACTTAACGACTTTGTCGCTATATTTAGCCAGTTTTCAGACCCCTTAGCGACTTTTTTTTCTAAAAAGCGACTAGCGACAAATCTGGCGACTTTTTCTGGTGTTATTGGAGACTTGTTTATGACGACTTTTTGACATGAAAGCACGGATCGCTTTTACTCTCAACAAGCAGCGGTGCTGCCGTGGGCACCTCGCCCGTTCCAAAGCGCTCACGGGCGGAGGATAGTCCTCCCCCCGCTGCTATCAGGGCAGGAGATGTTCACGCCTGTGCGTCTGAACTGCAAATGAATTGCGCATGAGCGAAGCCGCTGCTCCGCACTGACTGTGACGCAGTCAGTTCTTCTTTTACTCTTATGCTGTTTTGTGGATCACGAGGTTTAAAACTACTTATAAACACACACACAAAGTAACTCCGCCAGAGCGCCTATTTCGGGCCACTTTTGCCGGTCCAAGCCCGGGTAAAGGAGCAGGGTTGGAATTGTGACATTAAAAAACAATAATTGCTCAAAGAAATTTAATTTGTAGTTCTAAATAAACTCTAAACGCATTTAGGACATTTTTTACTCACTTTATGTCTCTTCCACGATGTTATTTCTCTCTCCAACAACGTAGGTTACAATTATATTACCATGACCAATTATGCAAATTAGGCGATGACGTCATTTAGCGACTTTTAGGACAGCCAATAGCGATTTTCCTTACTGAGGAGTTGGCACCACCGGCTCCCCGCTGTAGACCGCAGTCGGTCAGTCTGCCGTTGCTTCTTTCAGTTTGTTGAAATGAAGTCTGTGAGGATGCAGCAGTCTGTCACTGAAGCAGCAACATCTACATGCATGGGGTGGGAGACTCTGTCCATCAGAGATGCTATTTTGGCCGGAGTCCTTCTGTCTCCCACCACCTGCACTGGGTCCAGGGTGCATCCCAGAACAGAGCTGGCCTTCCTGATGAGTTTATCCAACTTCTTCCTCTCAGCTGTCGATAAACTGTGAGACTGTGAGTGTGAGAGCCCCCGGCCTATTCAGCATGAGTAGAACGAGGGGGGGGGGTACGTATGAAGAGTAAATGTTATGGGCGTTATACAACAGAATCATATGTATAGATTATAGTTTGAACTAACAATAAACTAACTAACTAACAATAAATCATGATGTTGACATGATGAATATATATGAATCAAGAGTAATAACATGAAAGAAAAATGACTCGTATGTGTATGAAACTTAGGAGTTTTAGGGGAAGTTAGGCAGCAGCAGAGTTGGGTGTGGTAAAAAGAGGAACTGTAGTGCTGTGCTAATCAATACTGAAATATCGAGTCCTCTGATACCAGTAATTTATGTTCTAGAATCGATTCTCATATTAAAATATAGATGTTTTAGTAATTTACGGCAAATTTGTAGTTTATCATTTGGATTGTCTACATTGGAAGGAACTACTTCCTCTTCCGCCTTTCGTAGTTTTAAACCTCGTGATCCACAAAACAGCATAAGAGTAAAAGAAGAACTGACTGCGTCACAGTCAGTGCGGAGCAGCGGCTTCGCTCATGCGCAATTCATTTGCAGTTCAGACGCACAGGCGTGAACATCTCCTGCCCTGATAGCAGCGGGGGAGGACTATCCTCCGCCCGTGAGCGCTTTGGAACGGGCGAGGTGCCCACGGCAGCACCGCTGCTTGTTGAGAGTAAAAGCGATCCGTGCTTTCATGTCAAAAAGTCGTCATAAACAAGTCTCCAATAACACCAGAAAAAGTCGCCAGATTTGTCGCTAGTCGCTTTTTAGAAAAAAAAGTCGCTAAGGGGTCTGAAAACTGGCTAAATATAGCGACAAAGTCGTTAAGTTGGGAACACTACAGGGACCTGGTCGGTCGGGGAGATCGTTGGTCATGGAAGGGGCGGGCCGTGGGCCGTCGTCGGCCGGGGAAAGAGGCGGTCCGTCGTCGGTTGGGGAAAAGAGGCGGTCCGTCGTCGGTCGGGAACATTTCTGTCGGTCGGGGGCTTTTTTCGCCGTATATAAAGCCCGGTCAGCTCGCGCTCTGTAACTCTCCTCTCGTCTTCGCTCGGAGCAGCTCCCCGCTCTTGGCCGATCCGTCTGCCGTTGCTTTTTTCAGTTTGCTGAAATGAAGTCTGTGAGGATTTTGTGCATCTGTCTCCTGACTGTATCTGCAGTTATAGGAAATGAAAAGTGTAAGAAAACTAATGACAGTAAATATTTAAAGCTCTGAGCGAAAATATTCTAAATTTCTGCAGGAATGAGGAATTGGATCCTTTTATCGCTCACTTTAAATACATCTGGGTGGTCTTACAGTACTTGGAGTAAAAGTACTTAAAGAAAACTTCTGTCTGCAGTTTTTGGAGCTCATTTGAAATATTCTGTTGCTTTCTGGTACAGTCAGCAGCGTTTAGTTTAGACTGATAAACACGGATCAGTAGAATACAATAGAATAAGGATGGAGTTCAGTGATAGTTGTTGGACAGAAGCTGCTCCAGCAGCAGGTGAACCTTCTTCAGTATCCTGAGGAAATAAAGTCTCTGCTGGGTCTCTTTTTTTACAATAGCAGCAGCTTCTCTGATCATTGAAGCTCCTCTTTGATGGAAACCCCCCAAAATTTAAAGCAAAGCACTCTCTACCTCCTCACCCCCTACACCCCTCTGTGTCGCCTCAAATCTATTTTTTTTATTGATTATAATTAACACTAAAATAGTGCTGTGACTGACAAAGTGGGGTTTCTGTTTCTAACAGTGTGTTAAAGCAGTGCAGAGAAGCTGTAATGACTGTAACGTCTCCAGGAATGTGTTTTGACAGACATCAGTATTATTGATAAGATTATGAGGATTAATGATGGTACACATAAATGTTAATGTGAGGAAAAATGTTATTTCACAGTAAGTTGTTTTATACATTTACATGAAACATAGTATGATAGATGGGCAGAACTTTGTAATTTGAATTGAACTTATTTAAATTCAGTTTCTAATGGCACAAAGTTCTGCCCACAGCACAGCTTCTATTTAGAAGTATTAAAGCAATGAGGACATGCCTTAAACCTGTATTCTATCAGAAGCAACCAGATGGCAAAAGTTTATCCCAAAAGGTTGATTCTGATCACCTGTTCACGCGCTTTCAGTTTCAGTTCAGTTCTCCCACTGAAAACGCTGCTTACAGATGAACAGAATCCACCTTTTGCCATCTGCTTACCTGGATGACTGAGCAGGCGTCAAGACGATAGAGCTGATCCTATCACAGTAGATTGTATGTTGGACTTATCAGTGACCTGAGCTACAGACAAGTGAAGTAAAATATCTGAACACACTGAGTCTGAGCTACAGTCAAACTATGAACTGCATATTTCAACATACTGAATCAAACATGCTTCATTCTTCAGGTCCAGGAGTCACAGTGGTTGTCTCAGAAGAAAGTGATGTCATCTTACCCTGCTCCCTCAGCACCAATCAGGACCTTGAACAGAAGCTCTTTGATTGGAGGAAAAAAGCACCAAATAAACAGGAGGTGTTCATGTATGATGGAGGCCTTCATTACAATAATGGACGTCCAGGTCAAGACGAGCACTTCAGAGGACGGGTCTCACATTTCCCACAAGAGCTGCAGTTTGGTAACGCCTCCATCATCATCAGAAACACCACGGTGGCTGACAGTGGAGACTACACCTGTGATTTTCCACATCTGCAGCCAGAACAAAGGTTCTGCATTAAACTTGTTGTTGGTGAGTAGAAAGCATCGTGAAAACAAACCCTTTAATAACTCTGCTGGAAGCTGTCACCTCATCAGTTTGTTACCTGAACCAAGAGATGCTCACAAAGGTGATGCAGAAACATCAGCTCCATCATGAGTTCATGATGCTGTGTGAAAAAACACATGTTTAATTTTTGCCTTTCAGAACTCACCTTGAAAGATCGATCAGGAGAAATCCCAGGTGAGTGATGATGTCACTGATGTGTGCATCTGTAACCTGTTATAAAGTTACGTTGAAACCAAGCACACCATTGTTTTTCTTGTGACATTACCAATAAGTCTGATGTGTCACATGGCCCTCTTCCTATTGAAAAAACAAAAGTTGTACCCAAGATGGCCGACTTCTAAATGGCCACCGTGGTCACCGCCCATCTTGAGGAGTTTGCCCCTCACATATACTAATGTGCCACAAACAGGACTTTAATATCACCAACCATTCCCATGTTGTTACGGAGTATCCATAGAAATGGCCCACCCTGTACATCAGAGGAGTCGGTGCTGAGCCTGACTCTGATGTCACTGAGCTCTACATGTGCAGTTTGTAGAGGCTGCTGTGTGGACTGGGATCAAACCTGTGCTGGTGTCCAAATGTGTGAGTAATGGTACGTTCCCTCTGGGGCACAGAGTCGTAGCACACAGAGCGCAGATGTAGAAATCAGTGATGTTCTCAGTCAAGCCTTCAGATTTCTCTGATCAGTCTGTAAGGTCACACTCTGGGTCACAGTCTAACAAATCAACCTGTCTGAAAGCTCAATAATGATGACATCATTTTTACTTCTGTGAAGCTGGACTCAGGACGTTTCCTGTTTGTGCTGATAAATGAAAGTCCTCCCAAACTCTGCTGTAACATGTAGTAAAGGTTGTTATTTCTCTGCTCTCACACACGATGTGTCGACATCTCCATCAGGAAAGAGAAGGACATGAGAGCACGACAGCACATTTGTGCTGTAACTGCAGCTTCATGCTGTGTTCACAGGTGCAGCTCCGAAGCCGTTTGTTGGGATCCTGAACATCAGCGAGGACGAGGCGCTGCTGAAGTGTGAGGTCAGAGGTGCTTCTCCAAAGCCTAAAGTAGAGTGGAGGGACAGCGATGGGAACATCCTTCCTGCTGAGGAGCCACAGGTGTCACGCACAGGAGAGCGCTATGACATCACCCTCCTCACCACGGTGACCAGGACAAACAGCAGCCTCTTCCACTGCGTAGCCACGCAGGAGGAGATGGGCCATGTGACCCGTGATCAGATCGACGTGCGTTACTGTGGTAAGATCTTATTGTGTCGTTGTTTAGAGTGTGTTTAATGTTTGTGTGTATCCAGTTTGCTGTGTGTGGCGTCCTGCTACAGTCCTGCATGAACTTTCATGTGTTTCAGAGAAAACGTCTGAGGTGAAGTCCCACTGTGGAGTCGGTGTGCTCATAGGTTTGTGGTTTTCTGGAGTTCTGACTGTCGCTGCAACTCTGGCTCTATCTGTAGCTGCAAAGTGCATCAGAAAACACAAGAAAGGTGAGTCAGAATAATGGATTTATTATTTATGATTTATTTCATATACCTGTAAGGTTAGACAGCCATATAACAGATGATTTGATCAGTGTCGAGTTCACATTCCTGACATTTTATGTTTGAATCCTTTGCTTTAAACAGGAAAATAAAAACTCATAATTATTAATAATTAATAATCCTGGTGTACACACTAAGTCAGAGTGTGCACAGCAGGATTATTCTGATAGTTTCAGGCACGTTCATGTCAACATGGAGCTGTTCATCTTCACATAATGCCACCAAACTTTATCAGTTAATATTCAAGGTTCTGAGCATTAAATCATCATTTTAGTCTGACTACATGTTTTGTACCACAGTTACCACAAACTGCTGCTTCTCTCCATCTGTGAGTAAAGCAGAGACATGATGTTATAATCTCATCCTTCATGTTCTCACTTTTTCTGCTTTTGCAGCTTCTCAGAGAAACCAGAGAGACGATCCTTCTAAGGAAGCTTGTAACGGTGACGCTTCACTCACAAACTGTTTAACGTCACAGCTGTAGTGTGTTTGTGTGGCTTTTTTAATATTTTGTTTTTTCATCCCTTTTATTATTATTATTATTTTTTAAATCCGTCTCGTTGTGTCTCCATGTTTCACACTGCAGTCTGTGATGAGTCAAGGAGATCATATTGATTATGTCAACTGTAAGTGTTTCATTCCAAAACCTGCTGCAGGTGCTGGTGATCCTGCACAAACTGGTTCTACTTTTTAGATGTCAGATGGTAAAAGCTGCTTTGACTTCTTCAAATATCACTCAGCTTCACGTTGTTGTCAGAACAAACCAAAGTTTCCTGCAACCTTTGACTGTATTTAAACTTGATGAGATTGACTTTTTCTTTTGTCTTCCTGTCGAGTCGACTTGTTGGAGGAACGTCTGTCTGCATTGGAGGTGTTCACATCTGTTTGTTAATTTCTCAGGTTGAAATCTGTTTTTATTCAGAGTCATCAGCAGCTGTGCCTTTCACAGTGATGACGTTTGTGCTGTTAAAACTGGTATTGATGTATTTAAGAATCAAGCTGCTTTCAAAATGATGGATATTTGTGTATTTATGATTTTATTAAGCATTTTGACACAGATTTTATAAAATTTGCATCACACTTTTTAAAGTATTCTAAATAAACACTTTTAACTTTAAACTCTGGCATCTTTTTCTGGCTCAGCACCGGGAAGCTTAATTATTACTGTCCATAAATATAGAAATCATTTATCATTTGTAAATTCTTTTCAAATGATAAAAATAAAGATTTTAAATGTCTTTTTTTTTAAAAATCTTGTTTAATAAAGAAGTGGAAAGTAGTCATCTCATATGGAAAAACCATGTGAAACAACTACAGCATACAGTTAGGTCCAAGAGTTCTGGGACTACTTTTTTGGTAACCTTGCCTCTATTGTTGGACCTGTCAGCAGCTTTTGACAAGGTCGACCACGACGTCCTGTTATCACGGCTAGAATTTCATGCTGGCCTAAAAAGATCTGCCCTCCAGTGGTTTCAGTCCTATTTGTCAGGAAGGTCTTTTCACATCAATATGGGCCCCCATAACTCCAAAATAGCCCCTCTTAAACACGGTGTACCTCAAGGCTCTGTTTTGGGTCCTGCCCCGTTTAATACACTTTTTCAATTTCTGTGAAAATTCCTGTCCCCCTTGAAGGGAAAGTCTATCTCTGGAAATTCTGCTTTAAAGACTGAATGCTAAATGTGAGTGATCAGTTTTCTGTATTATACTCATACTGTATTCTTATTAATAAACTGATGGCAGCCTTGCAGTGTTGCAGCCTCGAATAGACGAGCTTGTCGTCATCATGTGCGAACACAAAATCTTTACAGCCAAAGTATGTCACAGTTTGTTTTAGCTGGATGTGATGCATGTTCTAGCAAACAAATTGAAGAGTCTGGATTCTAAATATACACAGTATGTGAAGGTGCCTTTTTTTTATTATTATTTACAGATAACAACAAGAGGCGACACAGAATTCCTAAAGTCATCTTAGGCTACGTCCACACGTACACGGGTATTTTTGAAAACAGATTTTCCATTTTTGTTTTAAAAAAAACCCCCGTCCACACGTAAACGCAAAATTGAAGGAAAATGTAAATGCAAGAGACCGAGTACGCAGCATGTGTCGTACCTGACTGTTGATCCAGGGTCTGGTTGGGGAAAGACTGCAGCAGTGCAGGAGTTGGGTTATTGGTCTTTAATAAATTCCCACAGAAGAGTTGTTTGCATCAAAGTGCTTGCCAGGCGGTGCAGCCATAACTGAACTTGTCGTTTACGTGTCACAGATAACTATGATCACAATACAGTAACTCCATCTTCTCCACACAACAATATCTCACAATGTCCACAAGGGGTCCCTGTAGACCATAGATAAGCTTTTTAACACGTGTCTTACAAGTTGCTCATATTAAGGCACAAATACGGTAAAACTAGCAGCAGTTAAACTAAACAGTCGAACAGTCCTCTAACTAATACAGCTGGATGTTATTATTGTGGGGATTATGGCCGCTGCTATTAACTTAGTGCTAAATATCTTATATTAAATATCTTAGCAACATAGTATCAAAGTACTGAGACATATAATCTTAACATGCACGAACAATTATAACCAGAATCATTACAATTAACCTGACAAAGAAATAACAACTCAATCACACCATGAACTGAAATATGTGAAGTCCAGAAACGACTGACTGGATGTATGATTATAAAAACAGCTGTAGTACACACATACTTCCTGCTCTTCTGTTCTGGATAGTCTTGAGGGACCTGAGAAGACACTAATTATGTGTTTTGGACCTCTGACATTTAACAAGAGGATTTCTGTCTGATTCTTAATTGTATCTGGATTAATTTGAGTTGCTCCAGTTTCTGAAACGTGTTGATGTTTATTTAATTCATTTACTGCACATAATTAACGTACTTGCTGCATACAATTCTACTACTGCACATAATGTCCCCCATGTATATATTCTTAATGCACATAATGTTCTTCTCTCCCTCTTTTGCACAGTCGAGGAGCAGGTCAGGATACATTTCACTGCGTGTTGTACTTGTATAACTATGCATGCAACAAATAAAGAGTTTTGAGTCTTGAATCTTGAGGGAATCTTTGAGTCGTGGCCTGCCAATATGGTGCTGCGCTCCCACAATGCATTGCGGCGTTACGTCAACTCCAAAGCCCTATAACGACTCTAAATCCCAGTAACGATTGACGGGTTCCTGATTTTGGCATAATAACTAGTTACCGTGCTCGTTACCACAATAATAATGTAGTTACTGTAACACTTTACTTAACAACACGTTAGTCCCTGCACTGTAAACGAATCAGTGAAAACAAAACGAGGGAAATCATCTGAGTCTGGAGTTTGGGCTGAGTGTATGAGACTGCGTCTGAGCTGCAGACACACAAAGAGAACAATTTATTTAAACCTTCAGATTTTATTTATTTATTTATTTTTACATTTTTGATCATCATTATTTTTTCTTTGATCAGTCAGTGAAAAACACAGAAATGCCTTCGTCTGAACTGTTTGTAGTTACATTTTTTGACTTTTGGGAGTTAAAAAAGAAGTGCTATACCTCAGAGATAAACGTACCCATATACACACACACGGTTACAATTTAGGCTTGAAAGATTCACGGGTCAGTCATACGTGGCTTAAGTAAACGGTCAGGTGTAAGGACAGAAAATGTCTTCTTTTAAAGACTTTAGAAAGAAGAATACAAGTGATAGACATACACATATAAGTCAAGACTTGCTCAGTAAAAGTACAACTTCCTCATTAGGAAGGATGCTTCCATCACTGTCCTGCTACTCTACTTCAGGTTTCTGAACAGCAGCAAATAATCTTTAAATTAGAAGGAAAGATTTTATACAAAATTTCAAATCTGCACATAGAGAAATAAGAGAATGAATAAAAGATGATGGCCATATTTGTCTTAATTAAATGAAACAGCACGAGAGTCTGCTGTGATGGTTAACATTATCTGACTGCAGATATAAGACGTAGCATTCATAAGGTAATGACAGTGTGAGAGCACAAACATTAAAGTGCAGAGCAAAGCTGGACGTTACTGCAGCTTAGTGTTCATTTCCCAGTAACAACAGCCATGATCATGTTTCATGTGTCATGATCATCATGGAAGTCACTGCTTCATGTGACAATAAAAAACATTAATTTCATCATGAGCCATCATTTTAAAATAAATATAAAACAGCAGCATTTCCTTCACGCTGACTCAATATGAGACAAGAGTAAAAGTAAAGATTTCATTTCACTGACGCATGAATCTGTTGTCCTGAACTTAGAATCAGTAAGTTTCTTCTGAGTGTCTGATGTGGCAGCTCGGTGTCACCGTTACAAGGATCCTTAGAAGGATCATCACTCTGGTTTCTCCAAGAATCTGCAAACAAGAGATCAAAGTAAATATTACACAAAAGCAACTTTTACATCAACACATACATGTGATGAATGGAGCTCCCAAAAAGATGAGTTATCAGCATCTCATTTAAAGCCACTGGACTGTGAGTGAAACTCTTTAACTCTAAAGATTTTAATGTTAGTAATGAACTCAGTGAGCAGAAGCAGCTGTGAGGCTTATTAATCTGCATCTATAATATGTTCATGACTCCAAGTTTCAATAAAGAAACACATCACCTGTTAGCAGGAGAAACAACTATCCCTCCTCCTCTGCTCATCCTCCTCAGAGACGCAGGGGGTGGAGTCTATCCCAGCATCCATAGGCCGAGAGGCGGGGTTAACCCAGAACAGATCAGCAGTCTGTCACAGGGCCAACACAGACACAGACAACCACTCACACTCACACCAGTTAACCTCCTGTCCCCATCATCCCTGTTTTAAACACATCACGGCACGATGCAAACTTTCCGAATCTGATACTTTTCATTTTGGTCATTAAAACAACAACAAATAAACCAAAAATGTGATTTTGCAAAAAGAGCTCGAGCTTAACATAAATATTTTTCTTTCTTTGGTCATTTAATCATTCACATAACTTTTCTTTGTTTCTGTAGCAACTCCTATTTTTCCTGGGTTCACGATTAAAAACGTACAAAACATCAACGTGTGAAACTGCAGACAATCAACCTGAACCTGAACACATCAAGTTCCTGCTTTACCTTCCAGAACAATCAAACACACAACAGAACAAACTGATGTGAATATGCTCAGTGAAACTTCCTCATGACAAATAAATTATATTTAAGGCAACATCACACACACACACACACACACACACACACACACACACACACACACACACACACACACACACAGAATAAAAGACCCAACAAAAAAGAAGCTGTGAATAAGATAATAAAACAAAAATTAATATCCGCGGTACAGTCATGTCTGCAGATTACAGACATGTTGATATAATCCATCTTTCAAACGCACCTTCATGGACGATTAGACGGTAAAGTAGAGGAAACACACGTACACAGCTATCAGCACGACCGCAGAGAGAATTCCACAAACAAATGAAACTATGAGCACGATGTCTCCACCGCACGACTCAAACAGCTGGTCTGAAACACACGACACCAGCCTGCTGTCAACACGAGTCTCCATGACATCCACAATTTAGTCTGTGATCAACGAAAAGCACATTCATGAAAACAGCATCATTCACAGACTGAAACATGATGAGCGGGAATCAAACCTGGAACAAAGATCTCGTCAGCAGCTCGGTGGCTGAGCTCCTCCTGCGTGGCTACACAGAGGAAGAGGCTGCTGTTTGTCCTGGTCACCGTGGT